AATGCAGAAACAATGACATTAACACAGTTTAGTAATCTGTGGTATGCGATGAAACATCTCACAATATACAACCATGTGAAGTATTTTTAAAGCTCCTGTGTGGAGTTTTGAGGTGAATAATAATTTGACTGAAACATACTTACCATGCGTCTGAATGAGCTTTATTTTATTTTCTATCTCAAGTCCCTTTTGTTGTCTGCTGTCGTGGGGTAAACTTGACAAAATCAGCCACTTCTCCCTATTTTCCAAAACAAAGGTTCATGGTAAAGGTCTCTGCACACTGAGTCCATGTTTTTACAAGGAGCTGCAGAATTATCCCCATTGTTGCTTTCAGGTTTATTTCAGGATGTCATGGTTCAGTTTGATAGGGTTCAAAAACAACTGATCCTGAGCCACAGCAAGAAGTATGTTTGAGGTTCATTGGACAGACATGGAAAACACAGGAAATCAAACATGTTTGAGGAAAGAGAAAAAAGACAAAGTCCATCTCAAAGAAAAACTGTATATGTGCGTTGGTGTTGACGACTCTGTATGGTGAGGCTTTAGAAAGAACCTAAATTAATGTCCAGTGAAGTCCCCTATTTTGTGTTCTACTAGACATTATGCTCTGCTGCCATGAGAGAGTTTGATGAAGGCTCAAATAGGATGGACATTTCACTAAGAGAATAATGAGAAGGCAGTGTAAATGATAAAAAAGGTGGGATGTACAGTATATCTTACTCAGTGTTGATTTACATATAGAGACATTTGAAAATTGAAGATTGTTGACATTAAAATTAGCCAAGCTGTTCATGCAGAAGAGCCAAGTTTTTATCCATGTCATGGGAACACGTGGCTTGCATTCACAAAGCTTTTTTCCTCCCTCTATCTTTACATGAAAATATTAAGGCAGTATTTTTTGTTTTCGCTGGTCATTACTGTACATCAGTGTTAGTCCCCATCATCAGTTCAAACAGCACAGAGGCTGCACAACTTCTGCACATGCACAAACACACCCACACTTCCACACATAGCATGAGATGCCTTATCAACAATGGGCAGAAAGGAAATGTAATTAGAGCCAAATAAGGAACCTTCTTTTGTCAAGTCAAATCACAGGTATGAAAGAAAGGTCTCCACCCCTCCCACCAGCACCAGCACCACCTCTCCCCTCCTTTTACTTTCTTCTCCCCTCCATCTCACTCTTTCTGGTGCTCTCTCTCTCTCCATCAATACCTCTCTCTCTCCATCATCAGCACTAAATTCCCATTGATGTTTCTTTTCTTCTGCTGTATCGATCGCTTCATGAGAAGGGGGGGAGGACGGGAGGAAGGGAAGAAGAGAGAGATGGCGTTATCTGTTAATTAATTTGTCCTGAAGCTGGCCGCCTATTAATCAGACAGATAAGAGGCATTGGATGGCTGAACAGCGCAGACAGGCTGGTGGGGAGGGGAGGTGGTGAGGGTGGGGAGAACGCATACACACATATAAACACACACAAACACACAGACAGAGGTGCACATGTGTATGGAATGTATGCATACATAAAGACTACAAACATGCTGATTAAACAAGTCAGCAGACTCACAATACAATTATGTTTATGATGTTTAAATGAGCAATATAGACGGACACAAATTCAAACAAGCACACATAATCTAGACCAACACACACACAAACACACACACACAGATGAAAACCACATGCTGATAAAAATCATTGATGAACCTCAATAAGAGATGTTGAACTTGAGCTCAATAAATTAATCATGGGGGTTTTAATTATTGGTGTTTTCTTTGTGTGTTTGTGCACATGTGTGAACATGCTGTGTAAAATTAAAAGGAAGAGGTTTACCTGTAAAAAGTACGACAAAACCCTACACAAAACTTCCCCACACATTTGCTGTTCATTTCCTCCAATGCATATCAAGTTAGATGTTGAGGTATTTTAACTATAATCTTCATCCCAATTTATGACCTCCTTTGTTTGTAAATGCTCTCAAAATAATCCTGCTCCATTTTCATTTGTCCTTATTAATTTTCAACAGCAATCAGCAGAAATGTGTGAAAAGGAAACACGCTTATTATGTCGCAAATGGAAACAATCCAAACCCAGATGATAATCTTAACGGATTATATTGTGTACAAACAGCCGCGCTGAATTTCGACAAAGCAGAAGATGAGATGTTTTTACAGAGATCCAAAAATAACGAGTTTATTTACATCAGGGATGGAGTTAAAAGTGCCCCACAGCACGGTGTTTATATCTGTCACAGTTAAAAGCAGAGCAAGTGGAGAGCTTGTGTTTTTATCCCAGATCTTGGAGTGATTCCCAGTCAAGTCTATGTTAAAGAAACCTGAATGTTCATTACCTTCGTCATAACTCTCAAAGCAGCCTGATGAATAGAAGGAAAAAAATACAAAACACTGTTGTTTCTGGAGATTTCTCAGGTTTTTTAAGCATGTACGACTGGCTACTGTAGCTGGCTAAAGCTCCTTTAAGGGCTTTTTTTTTTCACGGTCACAAAAAAGACTGAAGTTTTTATTTTTGCCCTTTCATGATATCCAAAAGCAAACAAAACCATCAGCAGCAAGAGTGACAATTTTTATATCAACATTTTTATGCCTGAAACTGGTCTGAGGGGTAGATGTCAGCCAAGCAGCTGAAGACAAAGCTCAGGTTTCTACAACTTATGCACAAAATATTCACATTAAACATCATATTTAACTGTCAAAAGACAGCTGAGTGAGATCTTTCCTCAAAGTTCACTACTGAAGCATATCAAGGACAAGATAGACCGAAACCAAGGTACAACATTGGACACAAACTGAAAGTTCCTCACAGGAACTTTGAATCCTGAAATACACAATGCTACCTACAGTTAGCGTGAAAGGGAACAGAGTCCCACCTTTTTAAGCTGATTTGGTACAGTTGTTTAGTTCCCACCAATTTCGATTAACAGCTTTTACACCAGCACACCCTCTGAACCTGTGTGTGTGTGTGTGTGTGTGTGTGTGTGTGTGTGTGTGTGTGTGTGTGTGTGTGTGTGTGTGTGTGTGTGTGTGTGTGTGTGTGTGTGTGTGTGTGTGGATGTAAGTGTGCCATGTTTGCCTCATCTGGAACCAGATCAAATTCTACCAGAGGGATGTGCCGAAATTGATCAACCCTTCAGCCCTGCTCCCAATGCCCAAACACTACACACACACACACACTTACACACACACGCGCACACATGCACACACACCGGGACACGTTAAAACGCACATCTAGTGACACCATTAAATGATATTAACCCCCTTATGTCTTCTTCTCCTCACTTGACCGCGGGCTTTGAACACATTCAATAAGTGTGTGTTAAATTTGGCCGTGCCCACGCTTATTTCCATTGCCCACGATGAGTGCTGAAGTCTCAAGGACCCCCTCAAGACATGTGTGTGTGAATGAGAGATGTGTGTGTGAGGAGGGTGTGTGTATGAAGACCCCTTAAGAAATTCACCTCTAATCCCTTCTGATGATTTCATTAAGTAGAAGAAGACACTGCCAGTTGGCAACGATACTCCAACCTTCACTGTGCCATGTGTGTGTGTGTGTGTGTATGTGTGTGTGCATCAATCTTACAATTTGGATTCTTTCCAGTGCCTCCCTATGCATTCATGTCTATGCATATGTGAAACTCTCAGTATATGCGTGTATATAGCAGTGTCATCTACTGTGTGTGTGTGTGTGTGTGTGTGTGTGTGTGTGTGTGTGTGTGTGTGTGTGTGTGTGTGTGTGTGTGTGTACTTGTTGAGTTATTAACAGTTGTAGATGGTATGAATTAGAGCACATTAAGAACAACAATAGCCTGCAACCTGGACATAATGAGACGCCTGCCATTACCCATCAACACACTGTGTGATAAGATCCCCTAACACATATAAGACACACACACCTGCACACACACCAACGCACGCACCGTCACACACCTACCATCTCCAGAGGAGGCACACTGCAGCAGATGTTATTGAAGAAATATCTTCCTTCTCATCTGCCTGCTTCTCTTGGCAGGATGCTCCTCTCATGCACACACCCACACAAACACACACACACACACTGGAGGGCTGCTGTGAGGTCTGACAGGTGTGCTCACGTGGGCCACTGTCTTTGCCTTTGCTATGAAGGCTTGCACACACACGCACATATACACACGTATGCAGACAGGCAGGTGTGAATGGACAGGTGTGTGAGGAAAGGACAGCTGTGAGGAAAGGTGTGAGCGGGCAGGTGTTCCATTAAAGAGGCAGACATAAAGAAGGAGAGGGAAAGGTAACAAGCAGGAGTCTTGGGAAGTTCAGGAAAATGTATTTGCAAGAGACAGACCAGAAAAGTATTTCAAGCACGGTGACAAAAAAAGACAGTACCGGTAGTTCAAGTGTAAGGACAGACGGAAAACAGACACGTTACACAAACACATATGTTTCAAGATAGATGGAAAACAGGTGAGGCCAGAATCAGACCCACAGCCGTGCACAGACAGTGACAGATAAAAATGCATGGATTGCGATTGGAGAGACAGACAGATATAGACGTAGGCAAATAGAAGGACATGGATTGACACCAGAGAAAGCAGGAGTTTTGAGGCCACAGCAGCAATTAGTGTGTGTGTTTGAGTGGTGCAGCAGCGATGGCCGGCATTGATCCATGGAGGTTGTGTCAGGGGGAGATAAGGCCTGCCTTTCCCCAGAGAACAGCCCTTGGCACAGGGGAGAGAGGAAGAGAGGGAGGAGGAGGTGGTGGAGGAGGTGGAGAACTCTGGTCAACAGGATGGACTGTTGGAGGGTAGATGAAGGAAGGAAAGAGAGTTGATCTTGACCCGCTCTCTTGCTTCAAAACAAGCCTTGCGATCTCTATTTGTTATGATTGTGCCTATTTTGTTTGACCTTCAAATGCTCTTTCAAAGTATGTTTATCAGACAAAGTATCACTTCAATGTTATTTGTCTTGTCAAAAAGGTCATCATTTGATTCCCTTTTTTACATGTGTAGAACAAACCTTTGGACCCATGATTCTCAGGCTTTATTACAGCGTAACACACAACTCCCTGCTTAAATCGTGTTTTCATGAACAATCCTTTCTTTTGTTTTTGTCTCTATTCCCTCAGGTTTCTCCACACTGTCTTTGGCAGACCAGATGAGTCTATTGCAGAGTGCATGGATGGAGATCTTGATCCTACGTGTTGTGTACCGCTCGCTGTCCTTTGAAGACAAAGTAAGCGCTTTTGGCTATTTTTTGTTTGTTTGTTTACCAGTGGATGACACATAGATAAAAATGTTAATTTGTCTCCTCTCTGCCTCTTTGTGTTTCTCTATAGTTGGTTTACGCTGAGGACTACATAATGGACGAGGACCAGTCAAAGCTGGCTGGACTTCTGGACTTGAACAACGCCATCCTCCAGCTGGTCAAGAAATACAAAACTATGAAACTAGAGAAAGAGGAGTTTGTCACTCTCAAGGCCATCGCATTGGCAAACTCAGGTTTGAAATTCCTCTCTTACTGCTGCTGTTTTTGTCTGCGACTGTGTCTGTGTTTGAGTTTTTGAGCACATTACTGGTGGAGAAAGGGTTAAACTGAGAACTCTCCTGTCCCGTGGGGCTCATTTAAACTGAACCATCAAAGGACCGTTTTCAATACTCTGCATCCTAACGCATAAACAGGCACACACAACTGTAATCTATGATTCAAACTTATTCTCTATAACACCGACACCAGTTTTCAAATCTCCCAACTTTCCCTGTTGAAGCCCTCATACTGTAGGTACTGTTCTTTTTTTAATGTGAAAACACAAACATATCAATCATAGAAACACACACTCAACTTAACATGAAGCCCACTGCACACCCCCAAACAAAGTGGCAATCCCTTTTACAATTAGCATAGTCGTCTCTTCAGATGCCTGTTAAATAAGGTGAAATCATTAGAACCCAAAGTCTGTCGATAAAGCCCCCTCTCTGATGTGTCCAGCTGCATCGACAGCTGACTGACACACGCACACACACTCCCTCACACAGACACACACACGTACGGGCACACACACGCACGCCTTCTTCCTCCCATGACCCGTCTTTTGAACTTTGTCTTGGAAGCCGGCCAGCTCTTCAGTACTCTTTAATTACAAGGGGGGAGCTGTCAATACAATGTGTTTAAATGGGAGAGTGCAATGGAAGAGCTTTGAATAGGGAGGGAGGGGCCTTTTGTTCTGATTACACGCCAAACGCACATCAGCAAACACAACATTCGTGTTTTCCCCCAAACAAGCCAATTTTATTTCTCTAACATTTATAAGAAACACACAAACATAAAAGTCAGCCACTGAAACACGTTTGCTCACACACATATATACTGTTCCTCTTGCCATACACACGCAGAAAATATCGACTTATTGTCTTCCTGTGGACTATGTGTGACAATCAATCTCTTGGCTCTGCCTGTTTGGTTGTGCATATTTGTGCGTGTAAATGTGCCTGTTGGTTTTGAGATAAATGTGGGAAATGTGCAGGAAGCTGGCTGGTTCTGTAAGCAGCACACAAGTGTTGAATGATGACTCTGCTTATTCCAGCATCAGTATATATTATACTGTAGTTACTGCCTCTCCAGCAACATGTTGCTGAAGCTGAAACTCCTGTGCCTTCTTCAGCACACACACGTCACGATTAACCTCGATAGATTCAGAGAATATTAAACCACTGAAATGAAGCTCACATATGAAGAAACTCACATTTGAAATAGTCATTCTTATTGAAAAAGCTGACGCCCCAACAAGAACTTTGCATTACTGCCCAGACTCTCAAACTGCTCTTCAAGACAACAGAATGCTAGCATTAGCATTTTGAAGGGCACTGACACTAATTAATTCACAGGATGCTAATCGTCTGCATTAATGAAGCCCAGCCTTAAGAAATGTTAGCAAACGTGCCCCACATGTAAAGACAGCTAAACTAGCCATGGGAAACAGGAGGGACATGTGTGCGTGTGAGTGTGTGTGTCTATGCATCCATTTATGTGTGTGCATGAATTGCGAGCTCTGTGTTAACATGAGTGTTTTAACAACCTGATGTGCTCGTGCTCATTAACGTCTGCTGTTTTACTTGCGAGTGTACTGCGGGTCACAGCACAGGCAGCGGCCATGCGCACCAGCTAAACACAGGAGATTAATCCCAAACTACAGGAAACTCATTAAACTTCATTTGTATGAATAGTCAATGAAAGGCTTTACTTTTGTTATCCAAGAAGAACATGAAAGAAATAGATCCTATTCTCATAGTAAGCATTGGTCTAATATGTCTCTCACGTCATGTTATTGAACAGGATACCTTGTTTAACAGCCATATAAATGTTTTGGCCCTAAAATGTTTGTGTCAGAAGTAAAAACACATTCAGGTGATGTTTTGAAATGCCTCCCGTTTATCTAAATAAATGCCTCTACCTGGGCCTATTTCAATTTTACAAAATATTACCAAGCAGTAATCTTTACCAAGATCCTTTCCTGTTGAAAGTAAGAAAAAGTAGAAAATTCGAAAGCTGATAGAAGCAGAGTTTTCTATTGATCTCTATAGAATCCAACCCAGAGACAGTCTGGTCCTGCATACTGATACATGCATTACACTCTATAGATCCAACACGGAGTATTTGATTGTGTTTGTGTAAGTGTGCACATATGTGTGCATGTGCCTGTGTTTACATCGTGGGATTTATTTTGTCTCCACAAAACAGTTTTAAGTTTCATTTACACTTTTTTTCTTTTAGTTCACACGTTGGTTACATCTGTATTTGTACCTGTATGTCTTGTGTGTTAAGTATTCAAGGAATCAGTTGCTTGTATGAAAGACCAGATCTACTTTACGCTCTCATTGGACCTGTCAACATTCATATGCTCAGGATAATTTACAGTCTCAAATGTGTAAAACATCCTTCCATATCAAATACACCTCTTTGCATTTAGAGAGTGAAGGTGCCTGTAGTGAATATCTGTGCACATGTGTCAGTATGTCTACAGTATATTCCTTTTTTCAATGTGCACTCATAGGTCTGATCCCCAGGGCAGACTTAGTTTGTGTGTGTGAGTGTAGGGGTGTGTGTGTGTGTTGGGGTGTGGTGGCCTATCAATAGTTGCCTTGTGATTATTATTTAACATGCATGTAGTCATTGATTGGAGACATTGATCGGAGGTTGGGAGCTAAAGGCCAGCTCACATTAAGACTTTGCCTCCCCAAGGAGCAATATGGAGCATTATCATTGAGGGACATTCTCAGCCCTCACTGCCACATGTGCTGAAACACACCTTACATGCCAGCTCAAAGAGAGATTACACACGTGTGCAGCCAAATACTTATGCACACACACACAGACACACTCACTCACTCACATAGCCTCTCAGATGTTCCTGCATCTCTCCATCATTCTACAAGTCCATTTCTTTTCTCTCCGCCCACTTGTCTCGGTGTGCATCCATAAATCACACCCACTGATCCACATTTGAGAGACTGGGAGGGGAGCAGCAACTGGTTTTTTAGCCCTCATGGTGGGTTTGTTTCAGTAGCAAATGAGGGATTTACAACTTTCTGATCCTGATACTTTTTGAGTAATGCTCCAAGGTGTTCACATACCTAAACAATGATGTTGTTACTTCATTTATAATGATATGTAGAAGAAGAATGTAAAACCCAGAGTTAAGGCTTTTAGGATAATCCCTGCTTTTAGCTTGTTGGGCCTTTGTGTTGAACTCCCTCTTCAGAGCACCAAGCTTACCAAGGTATAAAGCATCAACTAGAGGAGGCTGATGAGGATATGGATAAATCTTGCCATCTCGTTCCTAGAAATTAAGGACATAAGGCATTCAGAGACTAAAAAGTAGAAATCTGGTGCCTTTTTGACAATTTTGTTCTCCTTTATATAAAAAAGTTGAAGTGAAGTGTTTCTTTTTCTAATGTCAGATAACCAATGTGTGAGTGCTTTGTCCTTTCATGGTTGGTGCCATAAGAGCATGCTCAAAGATGAACTTTGTTGAGGAATTAGATATTAGAAAATGACACACCAGCAAACGTCTGATTACACTGTATGTCTCTCTTCTCAAATTTTAATACAAGTCTTGTATTTTCCACCCTCCCCCCTTCAGACTCCATGCACATTGAAGATGTGGATGCAGTGCAAAAGCTCCAGGATGTGCTCCATGAGGCGCTGCAGGACTATGAGGCTTCCCAGCATCAGGAGGATCCCCGTCGGGCAGGCAAGCTGCTCATGACCCTTCCCCTGCTCCGCCAGACCTCCACCAAGGCTGTGCAGCACTTCTACAGCATCAAGCAAGACGGCAAAGTCCCAATGCACAAACTCTTCCTGGAGCTGCTGGAAGCCAAGGTCTGAGGACCTAAGCATAGATGGAGAGACACCAGTCTGAACCACCTGAGCTTCAACTCAGACTCACTTTGAATGACCTCTTGCTCTTTTACACACACTTACACACAGCCACACACAGAAGTATGTCCCTGATGTATGTCTGCAGACACAACCCTCAATGATGAAACCAGTAACCTAAACCTCTTACGTGAACCCCCAAACCTCCTCGTCTGAGACAAGAGGGCGCAAACCTGAACTTTGTGATGGGGAGAGTTTGACGGACTGACATGACGCCCCGATCTCCAGGAAAGATGAGATTTTCTTCAAAACTATCAAGAACAGTTTCAACAGTGGCTCAGAACATTGAAGATGGCCAAACACTTATGCATTTAATAACAATTACGAGGTCATTCATGGCAAACACTCAAATGAGGACACATTTAAAAGAAACTGTCAACGCTTCATTTTGGTCCTGAGAGACTGTAAGACTGCACTTGTGTCTCCTTACCCCTCCTTGTTTCCCCAACAGAGTTTTTTAAGTGTTCAAAAGGAAGAGAGGTTTGGGGGGAAAAGAACTTTAAAAAAATGTTAAAGACATTGGTTTTCAAAGTACTTGTAGAGTGAAATATGGATGGATGAAGAGAAAGAACAGAAAGGAAAAGAAGAGGAGATTTGCCCTGCCAAAGAATGGAGCTCATCCATTCAGAGGATGCCAGCAAACTTTACTGTCATAACCCAAAACGGTTTCTGCTTTGATCTCTGAGTGGCTTTCAGAGTCGGTCCCACAGAGAGCTGCTGGTTTTCACTTCCTCCAGTTATTTCATTTATTTTCTGGTTATAATGAAAATCAGGAGCACTCAAGGACCAGGCCTAAAAAACACCCAGTGGTTACCTCTAAATTCAGTTCCTGGTCTACCACGACTCCCCGACTATCACTACTACTTAGCTAATCGTTGCATTTGTCAACAAACATAGACCCTGGTATCCCATACCTGACAGTATTACCGCAGTATCAGTGAGCACACTTAGTGAGCTGAAGATGTTTTCAAATATTCAAACCACTGGAGAGTCAATCAGTGAAAAACAAGATAAGACTCAGTCCATGGTGTCAAGACCCTGACTTTACAGCACACACACTCTGTGATGCTGTGATTTTAGTCAAACACTCCTCTAGAGTTTGAACATCTGGAACATTTTCAGCCCCCTGGTGACTCACGTTTGTCGCCGTCCACACACGAGATTTCTGTCCTTAAAAGTGCCATGAAGAAAAGTCCAGCCCGTGCTCATTCCCCAAACTCCAAAAACAGCAAACTGTCACTTCAGGACGACCCTCCTTACTCTGCTGCATTCACACCTTCCAGCGCATCTGTTAAGACAGAACAAAAAGATGCTTTTACTCATTCAGGGAGTATCGAGGGAGCACCAGTCATTCATCACAGTTCAGACCAGAAGGAAAGGTGTGCTGAAAAAAATCTGACTGAAGAACAACTACTGTTACTTTGAAACTCCTTATTTTTCTCCTTCATTTCTATCTTGAAAATATTCTTAATGACGATAATACCAGTAATAGGGTTGTAAATAACAGTCATCCTGTATATGACATATAACACAGCTTTGTTTTTGTTATTAATATTGTCTTCTTAAAACTGAATCAATCAATATGTCTTTCCTTTTTTCTATCAGCTTGACCACTTTCAGCAATTGTCATATATCTATATATATATAAATATAACAAGTAATAATGTATTAACAAATCAGCGTTTATCTTAGAAAACACTGAGCAATAGTGGTTTTAAACGGAGGGGTTTGTGCATATGGACTAAGTCTGCAATATTAACATAACGTGCCAGTTTCAAAATTTCAGAGAGAGAGGAGATTTTGTAGCTTCTCTTTCCTTCTGTGTAACTTGCCATAAGCTATTAGATAACAGTCAGTATTTCCTTTGTTAGCGATACCTACACGGAAAAAAATATGGACCAGAAATATGAGGATGACAGTTTGAGAGCAGAAGAAGTAACCCAAGCAGCTCATTACAAAAAAAGATTCAACTTCCTGTTTTCTCACATTGGTCTGATGTTTGCACCTTTTGTGATCAGGCTCATTTCAGTGTCACTTTAATCTGAAAATGTAAGACTGTTCTTTTCTTAAAGGTAATGCTCTTTTTATATTACCATGTAAGTTTCTCCAGCTGTGTGGCTGTGTGCAGGGACCATCTGAAAGACGACTTAATCTGGTACTAAATGAAATCTGAACATCATCTGCATACAAAGATACATGAGGCAAGGGTCTTTCGTGTTAATTCACGCTTGCACTTCCTGTTGATGGGCATTTTTTAAACATATTATGGTACTAGTTTATGGTCATAAAAGATATCTAAATTGGTATGATTATTCATTTCCAAATACCCTCAGCGAATGGTTAAAGGGGAATCCATTATGTTATTGATATCTTAGCGTAGAACCTGAAGACTACAATAAAACGTGTTTTTTAAAAGGACTTAATTTAGGTCCTAAAATCAATCAAATCTTATCTGCACAGATTTTGACCAGACTTAAGCATTCGCTGATTTGTTTCAGGCATCAAAACTGGCCTGAGTGTCTTAACTGAAAGTGAAAACTGGAGTGGAAGGTCACAGGAAGCTGTCTGACAGTAACAGCGGGATTGTTTAGGGTTTGTTTGACGGGTCGCAGCTTTAACAGGAATATTTAGTCTGTTTTTATTATTGTCATTTTTAAAGCTGAATAAGAATGCCAAAATGTGTAATCTAGATGAAGGTGTAATCTAATGTAAAATGGCAACTAGTCACAGCTGAGGGGGTGCTCCAGTTGAAGTGTAGTGGATCTCTAACATCACACGCTCTGTATCAAACATCAGTATTATTAGTAAGGGGTATTTTTTCAGCCTTCTTAAACATTGTATATTGTAAATTATACAGATTATAATTCTAACATAAGACATTTTATTGGAAACAAAATCAAGAAAAAAAAAAGAAAAAAAGTAGTTCAACTTCAATGTGTGTTTCATGTTTGCTGTTTTTCTCTGAAGGAAAAACCGTGTTTCTTTGTTTTTATCTGTTTTTGTTTTCAAGTCCTCTTTCTGTTCGTTTCTCTCCTCTTCTGTTGGCTCCTCTGAGGCGTTGCTGTGAACTTTTTCTTGTGGTGATTCCTGTTCTTGTGCTGTGTGCTTCTTCTTTAGACAACACAGAGTAGAGTAGAGGCCATGTTGTCCGTCTGTCCGACCAGTCTGCTGGGGTTCTGGGTACCTGATTCTCTCCCAATGAACCAAACTGGATATAAAGCTCTTCTTCTAGAAACTTAACTAGACCACCAAGATGAAGTGACAGTCTTCATCTTGACCAAACTATGCGTAAATAATGAAGTATTTAGTATCTAAATGAAGAAACACAATACAAGTATTTAAAAAGGGATCATTTGTATAACTTTCCTGTAGAGTAAACAGTATACTATATATCTTTAGGTTTAAATAACCATTAAATGAAAAGGACATTTGAGTATTTCAGAACTGTAGGTGACTCTTTTTTGATAAACTCGCTGTACATAACTGCCTTCCATACAGCTCGGCTCAGTCGTTATCTTTACTGTTTCCGCAGTCAGTAACAAAAAAATAAGACTAAAAATAATAACTTTGATTTTCTCCCATTTTTGTCTTCTGATTTTCAGTTTGAGTCCAGGAAAAATAACATTTTACAGCGAAGAGTAAAAAGGGATCAGATTGGCAAAGAGTAGCACTTCTGGGCTTTGTGGGTAAAGTTTAAAAAAAAAAAAATGTTTTGATTTGTTCTTGTGTCTCTCGTCAGCTTGCACTCATTACACTTCATTTTAGGACAAGCTCCCATTCTTCCCAAACATAACAAACACAAAGTCAGATTTAAACCAAATGTTAAAATTAAGCGTCATTTTACTGACTGTATCTCCTAAACACAAGATTAAAAGAAATCAGACACTCAGCATTAAGTGGAAGATACTATGATCTTATGAAAGCATTAACATTGTCATATCATGGATTAGAAAGGAATCAATATTTATATGTGATGCCCCAGGGACAGATTTGAATTCCTTATTTTAATCTTTTCAAACCATCTTGGTTTGAAAAATGTCCAAAAGATGTTTGTTCTCATCGTGCACTGAACACTCATCCACGAACAACTTATTGAAGAAAGGTGCTCTTCTATTACATTTGTGTTTTTTTTTCCTAATGAAGATTTTGTTTATTTATTTAAAAAAGTCAATCCTGTTCACCTCTGAAAGATTCAACTCCCTGAAAGAAAGTGAAGAACTCTCTGACACCACTGAAGCTGAGCTGAATGTGGTCGACAGCTGCTTTTCTAAATGAATGAAAACAAACAGATCCGCAGAGAAAATGTGAATCTTTCAGAGGTTTTGTTGACTTGCTGCTCATAGCCAAAATATGAATCTGTACAAAACATGTGTTTTCCCTTGACCTTTCGTTTTCTTGTTTAAAAGCAATATTTTCTTGACTGTAAAATGATGAGACAAGAGTTGCACTTTGTTTGGGTTATACTTCCAAATGCTGCTGTAGCTGTCAGAACTACCCTGCAGTTTTAGTGTTTCAAGCATATAAATGTCAACAATCCAAGCTGTGGAGCTCTGAAAGAAGGACTTTGATTGGGGTTTTTTTGCAGATGCTTTGATAGAAAGAGTTTGACCTGGTTGCACTTTGGGCACCATGTTATCGCCCTCATCTGGAACTTAGATCCATTAGCTGCAAATACTCTGTGTAACAAAAGTTCAGCTGTAACAGGAGGACGAGTCTAAGTTAGCATATCAAGAAAGCAGGAGCGTCCATTTGCTCCCGAAATGTCTGCTAACGCTTGACTTTGTCCATCTCCAGCTCTACTGTTTAGTCATTTAGTTGTATTTATTCCCCAAAGTTAACTGCCACTCGTTCTGCAGCTCACCCTGCAGTCTGAATCTACAAATGTGAAGAAAATATTAAAGGGAGAGAGGAACATTTGGATACACAGGCTATCTAGGGAGGAAAGGACCCTTGTGTGGTGGAGAAGAGTTGTATACAAGACCCTGTAGTGTTATTAAAACATGTCCGTAGATTTTAGATGTGCTTCACATCAGTAAATGAAAAAAAAAAAAAGAAACAATAACCTGTATATTTTTGTGACGTGTATCATACAAGTGTGCTCCAACAATAATGTCCATTTGTGTAAATGTATTTATTTCACATTGTATATATTGTTCAATGCAAAAAGAGAGACCTATGATTCTGTAACTTAAACTACTATGGGTTGAAACATTACATGTGTTACTCCAGACTATGCCTTTCAGGATTATTACAGTAGAGCAATATCAATTAAAACCAGGCTTCCAGTTTTGACACCTGTCTTTTGTCTCTGGTTTTGATTAATTAAGACACGAAACAAGTAAACATTTACACCAGAAAACAGCTTTGACCTAGTCTCGGTGTCTTTGAAACAGGAAATCAAACCAATGCAAGGTGCTGTGATTACTGTGAAATTTGATGTAGATTGAAGATAAAATAACTACTTTCCAAGTTGTAAAATCTTAACTCTGATATGGTATCCCGTGGTAAATCTTTCACCTCACAGATCTTTCATTCAAACTTGACCTCAAATCTTACTCTGAAACAGTTCCCAAAGTGACCCTTCTTCTTGAGTTGTTTTAATGCAGAGCTGTTTTCTGTCTGGATGCCTGCTTGTGATGAAGCACTGACTCATTTAATGTAGCACACCTGTGGATGGATTAGAGAGCAGTAGCAAGAGAGAGGTGGCAGCTCCACCTTATGGACTGTGCACACTGTGCAGACACCTCACAATGTACAATGTCAGAGCAGGAGCTCAATTTGTTGAGGCGATCCAACTTTGGGACAAAAGCAGTAAGCATGATTGACAGATGTTAGGACAGTCCAGAATAAGTTCACAGTCAAAGAATGAAACTTTCTCGAAGCACAAAGCAACAAAACTTTAGTCATACAGTGTAACCTCTTAAAGTTCAGGTTCAGCCTAGAAAACTATTTTCACAAAACTTAACTTCTAAATGTTTATGCCGACATCTAACTCAATAAAAAATCTGTTTGCACGAGAAAGAAGTCTACAAATACAAATCAAAACATACTTTACTTTTATATATTGTCCAAGTGCATAATCCACTTTTTGACTATCATGCATACATGATTCTGATTGGTCAAAAACACATAACACAGGGGTGATTGTCTCCAGCAAAATCATCCTCAGTGGAAACTTAATCACATTCTTAACAAATCAAATCACTGAAGGAATGAGACACATTTTACTTCTGCCTGTTCACATTGTGACAAAAGTTTGAGTTTTCATCTGTATTTTAAATACATGGCGAAGAAAAAAAACAGCACTGATTTCCCTCTTAGGCTGGTCTTAAGAGCCAGTAAACAATGACTCTGTAAGGGAAAAGTGGAGTGATCCTGTCCTGCAATCCAGACACCAAATTGGTTTTAAAGTTGCTGATTGCTCATAAGTTACTTCAGCCATCAACAAAAAGTTGTCAAATCTTTAATTCTTGTCAGGGTGAGAAGACCGACCTGCTTCATATTCAGGTCCTGCTCACCTTGTCAGGATTCTAATTTGCATAACCTCCTGTTAACTTCACATTATTCAGTGCTTTACAAAGGGATGCTTTTTTTCAATATGGAGCGTGTTCATTAGCTTTAATTAAATCTTTTATTCTTGAGCCTTTAATTATGAGCTTAAAGGTGAGCTCTGTTATTTCAACTCCTGTCATGTATGTTCAGCAAAATGAAAGAATGTGGTGGAGGATGAGTGCAAAGAGTGGGCAGGAGGGAGGAGAAGAGGAAGAGGGAGGAAGAGAAGGAGGAAGTGGTGACAGCTTGCTGCAGTAGGTGGCTAACTACTGTCCATTCTGAATGGCCTGATCTCTTGCTCTTGCCAAAGGCGCTAAACACACACACGCTTTCTGAAGTGAAACACACTACAAAATAAAAAAACAAAAGCAAATGTATTCCTTCTTCTCTGACTTGCTCCATGTTGTGTTTTCAGTACTGTTTGTTAGCTCATCTTCACAAGTTCACTCATATTCTCTGTTTTCTTATTTTTTACATTTTCCCCTCTCTCTTTGCATCCACTTTTCCATATCCCCTCAAATACTAAATACATCCCTGTTCCTTTTCCTTTCTCTCTTTCTCTGTCAGTCTTTTTTCTCCATCTCTCTCTCCTCTAATAGCCAGCAGCAGTAAATGGGATGCAGAGGCCAGAAATTTAATGTGGCGGAGAGCCGTGGAGCGATTTACGAAGCCTTTTCCTAACAGGGGGAGTCCTGACCTGCAGGCAAATATTTTTCAACCAGATGACATAAGAAGATATTAGCAGAAAATAGAACAAGATTTTTATTTCTCTTCATCCTCTCTCTTTCTCTCCATCTCTCTCTCTCTCTTTCTCTGCTGCTCCTTTCTTTCTCCTTTCTGTTTGGGTTGCTGCTTGGTCACCCAGCCCTCCACACATACGTTTTATTTTACTCGCTTGCCTTTTGGAGTTCATTTGTTTTATTTTATCTTTGATTCATTATTATGATACGATAAAAGCTACTTGAGCATTTCAGATGCTGAGGGGCTCTTATCGTTAACCTTGTGGAACGCATGTAAGAGTGGGCTCCACACGCTGCATCGCTAATGGCCAGCTTAACTTCTCTCTTCTCCTCCTCCACCTTCTGGCTTCATCTTCTCCTCTCTTTCTTTCTCTATCTCTTTCTCTCTCTGACCAACCTTTATTTTCTCCTGTTATCACTTATCTTCTGCCATGATCCCCTCCTTATGAATTTACCTGTTTTTATTCACTTTTCACCTCTTGCTTTAGTATCCGAGCTGACGGTATTTACTATTTCATTGGAGAAAATAAAACTCAGCACAGTTTTATTCTCCTCTATTCAGCACAACTGACTGATGAGTGACACCGCATTAAAGCTTAAAAAATGAGGCTGTAACCCCGATCTGTCATTGTTGATCATTTTGATGAGCCGCACTTCTCATACAAGATTTCAGCTGCTCAACAGTTCAGGGTCTCCTTTGTCCTGTTTTTATTTAGTGGTGCTCCGAGTGTGCTTCGTGAGTGACAAGTCAGGACTGCAGGCAGGCTAGTTTAGCACCTGAACTCTCCTACCGGTGAGCAATGCTGTGTAACATATGCAGAATATGGTTTGGCATTCACAGACGTATGCAAGGTCAAAAGCACTGTCTGGTTGGCATCTGTGTCTATTCTTCAGAGTCAGTGGAGTCTCCCCAGGTTGTGTAAGCTACCCATGCTATAGCATTCACACATCCCGATACCATCATGAATGCTGGCTTTTGAACTGTGTGCAGTTTAAAGAGGAGAGGACACAGTGTCAATGATTTCCAAAAAGAAGGACAAATTTAATTCATCAGCCCACAGGACAGTTTTCGACTTTACCTCAATCCATCTCATATAGTCCAATGAAGGGGTCAGCATTTCTGTATCATGTTTGTAAATGTAGTGGCAGTAGCTCAGGAAGTAGAGCGGTCTTCCAATCACTCCAAGGTTGGGGGTTCAAGTCCCCCCTATCCCTCGTCTGTCCGTTGTGTCCTTGGGCAAGACCCTTAACCCACCTTGCTCCCAGTGTGTGTCCTCCACTGGTGTATTGTTGTGGTGTTGGTTGGAGAGGTCGCAGGTATCCAGAAAGCCATGTTTCTGTCAGTGTGTGGCAACTAAGGTAGTTTACCACCACCAACGTGTGAGTGAATGAATGATGTATCCAATGTAAAGCACTGGACTGAAGGTCTCTGATAAAGTGCAATATAAAATCTGATATATTATAAATGATTTCTAGACTCAAATCAATCCACATCAGTGAGAATGCACAGAACTGGACTCAGATTCTGTGTCAGAGGACTGACGCTTCAAGGTGCCTAAAGTCAGCGCCGTGTTGTTTCAAGACTCAAGAGTTAGCTTCCCAGAATCAGATTTTTCATGTTAGAAACTTGCTGTATGATTGCACAGTTACACAGATAGGCCGCGTCATTTAGCTTCAGACTGGAATCCAGGATTTCCAGCACTTTTTTCCATGGCTTCAAGTCAAAGTCTGGATGTTATCTCTGTCTATTACTGTACCCAACAGGGTCAGTCTCTGAGGATGACCGTATCTGTTTTAGGGGCTGTGACCTGTGAAGTGCTAATGTGTGGCAGCTTCACACTGTTGGTGCTTCAGATGACTGTTTTTGAGGCTATTTATCCCCCTCGAGTGTGTGTGTGTGTTTGTGTGTGTGCATGTGTGTATTCTTGTTGATACTTTTATGTGAATGTGTTTGTGTATCGGCGTGTGTGTGTGTGTTACCTCTGACATGTTTGATTTATGATTTTATTTTTTGGGCCCACTTGTGGTCATATGTAAGCCCTATTTGTATGTGTCTACGTCTATGTTTATGTGTGTGTGTGTGTGTGTGTGTGTGTGTGTGTGTGTGTGTGTGTGTGTGTGTGTGTGTGTGTGTGTGTGTGTGTGTGTGTGTTTTCTCCCTGTATCCCCTTGTATCAGTGGTGGGGTTCCCTTGGGTTTCACAGGCCTGGTGACATGGACTCATGGTGGTAATGGCCTTTCACAGTATCCAGCTCTCCCCTGACACACACGCCCACACACACACACACACACACACACACACACACACACACACACACACACACACACACACACACACACACACACACACACACACACACACACACACACACACACATACATACACTGGTGAACAAGTAATCTCTAGCACAAATATGTCCAAAGATAGAGAAAAATACAGAATACATGCACGACATAGAGAGTCGTGAGTCATCCACGTTACAGAGAACTTTACAGAGACGTGGACAAATTATTCACATTTTTACCCTATTTTTTGTTTGTTCTGAATCCACATATACAATCTGCAAAAGAGGAGAAAGACAAAAGCATGAGCGTGAGATAAAGAGTAAGCTGGTGAATAAGGCTGAAATCTAGGGTAGATATTCTTTCTCCTTGTTTGTCTTCTTCTTGTCTTTACATTTCTCTCTTTTCTCCTTGTCCTGCTCTCTCCATTGACCCTCTCCATCAAATTGCGTCTGGCCTACTTAGCTTACATGCTAACAAGCAGTCCACTTCCTATAATTTATGGACCTTCATTAGTGCAGTGATTTACTCGTACTGTGTTCTCACCAGTTTTCTTGACACATCATGTCTTTCTCTCATTTGTTCTTTAATCTTTTCTTCCTTTTTAAAATCTCATTCACTGTAACTATATATCACCTGTATTCACCTCTATCTCTTGCCTCTTTCCATTTATCCAACACCCCATCCTCCTCTGTCATCTGTTCCCCATCTTCTCCTCTCTGTGTCCCTCATCCCTCTATCTCACTGGGTGTAAAGTGGCTGAGGGGGGCCGCATGTGTCTGGGCTGCATGTGCGAGTTGTAAGAGGGTCAGCTGTCTATTTGCACTTTTAACGTCTTAACTCCATATATGAGGGGCCATTTATTCTCTCTCTCTCTCCCCCTTCCCTTCCTCCTTCTCAGTCTATTGCTCTCTATCTCTCTCTTAGGACAGTAAATGTTTTAACTCTCCATTCTATGGGCCATTCATTAAGTTAGTGTACTTTAATAAATAGTCTGATG